ATTGTATTCATTAATCCTTATAAAATTCAGAGTGATTGAGTCTGTCCTTCCTATTTTACAGATGAGTCAATGAAGCTCAGAGAAGTTAACTCCCTTAAATCTTAGAGCCGTTAAATTGTGAAACAATAATTGCATTTCAAATCTATTTGGAGTGAAATTTTGCACTCTTTCCATTCTGATAGATCTAATTTCACGTTTCTCTGCCATTTGTAAAACAGCATTGATCTCAAAACTCTTTAACTTTACATTCCCTGGAGATTCGAACTTTGGTGAGGCCCCGCCCCAATATTGGGTTTTTGCGAGCATTGAGTGTGTGTCTGAGCAGAGGGTTTCAGAGTTGAATACGAGTGATTAAAACAGAAAACCTTTAAGGACCATTTCAATGCAAAAATTACAATTAACAATAATATCGTGGACATAAAAAGTAGCAGAAATTCGCTGTGATGGCAATTTCTCCTACATAATGATCCCCTGGCATGGGACCAATGGACATTTTTTTCATGACGACCTTATGTGGGCAGATATTACTCAATTTGAGTCAGAGCAGGGAATTAGAAGATCCAATTTTGAATGGAAAAAGAAGGTAGTCAATCACAGATACATGACACTAGCTTACACAGATGTTCCGTTTTCCTCTGACTCACTCTTTGAAGCTTGAAAAGGGATAAATTTTATTTTTGATATAGTAATTGGGGTACAGTCACATCATAAGTCGTGTCTTCATATCATGCCTTTTCAACTTTGTTTTATGCCCCTGCTTTTGACCCAAGGTTTGAGTATTTCAAAAGAAGTTTTTAAAAGAGGAAGAGCTGGTAACAGGATCAGTTTTGAAAGCAAGATATAAGTTTATATTTCTAAGGAAAAATAATCCTGTCATGGGAACATTGGATGAAAAAAAAAGTTTAAAATATTTTGCTAGCTGAGGGGAGCACTCTTGTTGTTTCTCTGAATAGAGCTGAGCATGGTAAAAGCTAAAAGATTCTCATCAACTTTCTGTCTCTCTCCTTGAGGAAGAATTGCCCCGTGCTATTCAGCTTGTACAGCCCCTGGGAGTAATGCTCACAGTAGACAGAGCAGCTATTAACTTCCTACTTTTTATGTCATGATCTTTATTATCTTTGAACTGTTTGAGGGCAGTTCAGCTTATTTCAGGGCCCTAATATTTGACAGTGAGTGAGAAAGATGAGATTTCTCCAAGTTAAAGAATCAAAAGAAAGAAAATGGTTAAAAAAAGAGATGTATTCCCATGTTAGCATCCGTGGCTTAGTAAAATAATATTCTAGACAACATAGGTGGTATAAGTGAACAAGTTCTTATCATGGGTTAAAATTACAAAGATTCTTCAACACAAAATGCATACTTTCATTATTATTCAAAGCATTAATTTGTGAATGAAATATCCAGTAAATAATAAAGCAATTACTGGAGTACACAGAGTTTAATATGTTAATAACTGACATATTTGTCTCTGCCAAGGACAAGTTACCAGCTGTACTATATAGAAATCAGGGGAAGGGGAAGCGCAAGATAGTTAATAGGGTCTAGTCAAGCAGTGAGCTGAGCTCACCCTTTCCAGTTCATTCGGTGTCCTATTGGATTACCATTCTGTTGTTTTAACTGGAGAATAAGTCAGGATGCATACTCCTCCTTTACATGGCTCTCTCTGGCAGTAGCAAAAGCAAACAGATTCAGAATCAACTCAGGTATAAGAGTCAGAAACTCAGGTATAAGAGTCAGAAACCCAGGATGGAAGAAATAAGTTCATTAGAGACAAAGGGAAAAAAGTTGATTTAAGGCACTCTGTCATGCATAATAGATGTGAACTGTTTTTCACATCTTTTATTGGTTTGTTCTTGTGCTAAGCACTGAGACTTTAATAACTGCAAACATTTATAGCCCCTGTATTTTCCTTTGGAAAATCCACTGTGCTTTTAAATCTATTGTGCTTTTAAAGTTAAATGTGCTCTAATTCCTCTGAAAAAGTAACTGTGGAGTAGCAAAAGAGCCTTACGGACCTGGGGTCAAATCTTTACTGAGGCAAATTATTTAGCCAATTTAAACATAATTTTTAAGTACAAAAAAATCCTCTTTTCCCCATGGAACTAAATAAAAAATATTTGTAGGCAAAGTTCCTAAGAGGCACTCAATAGGTAGTACAATTTTATGAGCTAGATTATGACCTGAAAGCTTTCTTTCCACTCATAAACTTAATAAAATTTATAAAAATGAACAATTAGTTCATGTTTCTCACAGTGCAAGGACAAAAAAAAATTTTTAACCTCATGGAACCAAGGATTTAAAAAATGTATTTAATCATAGAAATGGCTCTATCCAGCTGTATTAACAACTTAAGAAACTGTTTTTGTCTTCCACTAAGAGAAATGCCACATTCATAATTATTCAAATGCCAGTGGACAAATGAATCTTTAGTGTTAAATTCGGTGATCTGTGACACCTGTATACCAAAATTGAGGAGAAATTGCAGCAATACAAGGCAGAATAAAGACAGGATACTGTGAAAGTAAAAGACCAAAGAGTAAGGTTAAAATGTGTTGGTATTATAATCATTTTGGCTTGGTAGTGTTTTTATGGCTAAAATGGCCTTTGGAAATAAGGACATTCAATATCTTGAAAATCCTCCTACAAGTGATTATTTGTCCTACAGGAGGGAGATAGCAGTGTATCAGAGAAACCTCATGTTCCATGGGCATGCTTACAAAGTCAAGATTAATATTTGGAGAAATATTCACTGTATCTGCAACCATATATTTTAAGAAGCTATATCACATTCACCAAAAATATCAAACAACCACCAAAAATAGTGCTATAGTATGCTTAACAGCTTTATTTACAGGTTTATTTCCCTTTTTATGCTAGATATTCTTCTTAGTTTGCTATTGTTCTATATAGATGTTGTGTATAGATCCAGGCAATTGAAAAGAGACACAGATATCAATGATTAGGTTTTTATATTGCTTTGGAAGGAAAAGAAGCATAAAAATTTAAAAGTTGTTACTTCTATTATATGTGCCCACTTAATCTTTTTAAAGGAGAAAAGTATTTTCTTTTAAAGCATTCATTTGAGTGAGTTGAATATTAATCACTGAAAAATTCCTAGCACTATTATTAATTGCAATTTATCAGTGTTCTGGCTGCACTGACTTTCAGATATCTCTCACCTTATTCTTGTTGAACAGAGCATTCCACAATTATTGGAATTGAATACAGCTGAGTTTCGGAACAGTTTCTCAAGTTGAATAAAGATAGGCATTTAAATCATCTGATATTTACTGTCCAAATCTGGCCTTTTCAGCTATTACAGTACTTAAAATATACATTATATTTTCCGGTAAAACTTTTTTTGCTCATTCTATTGAATCTTGTTAACATTTATAGTAAAGGACAAACAGTTCACCTATCCTAATTTTAAAAAAGTACTGTAGCATCCTGAATCCTTTGCATTTAGAATAAATGCCAACTTGTTTTGGTATCCATTACCACTTTCAAATTGCATTATGCAATATAATGCAAATGTGAGTTCTTAATTAGCAAAATCTGTTTTGTTCAAATGTACATTAGAGGGATTTTTCAACGTATTGCAGCTGTTACCTATGGAGGAAACACATTTCACCTTACTAAGAGGAGCTGGTCACGTACATACGTTGTTACGGACGGATCATTTAGGGTTTCCTTAAGCAATGCTATTTCATAATGGATTTCACATTGACTATAGCAAATTTTACCATTGCTGCCCACTCAGTTTCTGCCTCTAGGTTGTTTTTCTTCAAGAGAAGATGAAATTTTTCAAAGCAATAGGGAGTGGGGGTGGAGGAAGGGTTCTTTAGGAAGGATGTAGTATCTACCAAGATCAAAACGAAACATGTCTATAGATGCGTATCTATTTAAATATCCATTTAAATACTGTATACACATCTTTGTACACATGCTGTGTCCAGTCAACATTCTCAAGAATATAACCTGAAGGCAGCCTCATGAAATGACGAAAACGAAAAACAAATTAAAACATTTGTGATTAGATAGTGGGGTAATATAGAAGGTAGAGCATTATGGACAAATAGAATAATAAATCGGTTGCCCATTGGATTCTTTGCCTAAATGTGGGGCCTTTAAACAACAACCAATTATGATAAATGCTTAACTGTAGGAGTTCAGGCAGACAGCCAAATTCTGGTTTCAAAGCTCTTGCTAGTTTTAACTTAAAGAGTTTACATTTTTAAGCAAAAGGTTTTCTGGAGCCACCTGGTCCCTGAAATGTGGCAAAGAATGGGCTACCAAAGGAGTCTGAGGAAAACAAGTTAACAATTTACCTAAAGCCAGTTTATTCCTATGGACACAAAGTAAAGAAAGCTTAGCCAACCACCTACAAAAACAGCGAGTCTGGGGGAGGGAGCAAAAGGAACGTTTAGTTTTTTTCTTGTTTAGGAAAGCCAGGTATTTGAAACGCAAGGAAGATGGCAAAACTCTTCCGCCATCCCCATCCCCTAAGTTTATTAAATTGCCAATCTGCATGAAATAGGTTTCAACCTTAGCCCTTCCTCGGGACCTTCCCGCTCTCTGTGGAAAGACTAAAGGCGGGTTCAAGGGGCTGTGACAATCCACCCTCTAGTCTGCAGCCTTGGGATATTTGAGAGTCAGCTGCTAAGGCCTCTCATACAGTCGCTGAGGGGCTACAGAAGTGACTTTTCTTAGTCCATTTCCTTCCCGCCTCCTCAGTGTACCCTGAAGGTCTTTTCCCCTTCCCTCTTTACAGTGCCACCAGCACAGCCCCAACGCTTCGCTTCAAACCTTGTCTCCCCCACCCCCATTCTCGAACGTCTCACATCCACCACCACCACTACCCCCCCAACCAAAGTCCCCTCCCGGTCACCACCAAAGCCCGGAGAAGTGGGACGCACACAATGCCTCCCTTATAGGGCTTCGGCACGAAACTGGGCATGCTCAGTAGCCAAAGCAGCTTTTTTTTTCCCCTTTTGGTCGCAAGTGCGGCAGCTCTCCCAGTCCCACACCTCTTTCCTCTACCCCTATACCCTGTCCCCACCCCCAGCTCCTTAATCATTCGGTTTAACCAGTTTTTTGCCGAGAGCTCCGGGAGTACTAAAAGGCAGAGAATTAACCCGCCTCCCCCTAACCCCACCAAATAGTCTCACTTTGCGCTAAAGCCTTTCACTTTTGCCTTAAAACCCCCGGCCCCTTTCGGGTAGACAAGTAGGGGGAGTGCGAATACTGCTGGATCCCAGGAAACTGGTCCCACGAAGGCTCCATCTAGGATCGTCCGCTACCGAGAAGTATTCCCGGAGCTCTCCGTTCTGCGGGGTGACAATGAGCCAAAGGTACCGTACCCGGGATACAACACCCAAGTGCGACGGTTGCATTTGAATGTCATCGTTGACTCACCCCCCTCCGTCCTGGAATTACCCAATTCCGCGTAGACTCGACGGCCCTGTGTGTCTTAAGTCCCCCTCCCTCCTGGTTCTCCAGTGTTTCTTTGGCTTTTCCTGGGTTCTCGGTTGTTCCCTCAGCGAAACGACCCGGGTGCGTGCGTGCGTGTGTGTGTGTGTGTGTGTGTGTGTG